ATTCCTTTTTAGACTCGTTATTGAATATTTCTGTCTCTAGTAAAGAACTATTTCTTACTTTATAACATTGTCTTCATAAATGTGATGTTATTCACTCTCCAGGCTCTGTTTTATTTTTAATTTTTTTTTTTTAGTTAAAATGTCTTACTTAAACTGTACCTCACAATTACACTGACCTATTGCCTTGAATAATTATTAACCAATTGCATATTAACTACTAAGAATCTTAAGAATTTCAAATTCTCATTCTTTCCCAATTGTTAAATCTCATACAATGTTGTTTATGGCCTATGTGGAGTTTATATTGTGATGTTGTTATATGTCATGGAGTCAGAAGTGACTCACAACTGACCTTCCAGAAGGTTTAGAAAGGCTATAAATCACATGTGAGTAAATTGCCCATCTTTCTTTCTTGAAGTAGGTGGATTCAAACCACCTGCCTTTGGATTGGCAGCATAATAATTTATCACCAGGCTACCAGAGTTTGTTTGTGGGAACTATGCTGTTGATGTGTGCTTTCAAGTTGAAGATCAGAGCTCCAGTTCATAGCTGACCCTCCAGCAAGTTTTCATAGGCAGTAAATCACATGCTACTACTGCAGATCAGTTGGTGGATTTGAACCATGTGCCTATGAGATTGCGGCATAGCTGCTTACTACTAGGCCACCAGAGTTCTCTGTGAGATTTATAGAGGTACGTAAAAAGTATTTACTTCTTCAGGAATGCATAGGAAAATTAGGAGTGAAGTATGGCATTTAAGACTAGGAAAAGAAAAAGAAAGAAAAAATTCTGACAATGAGAACGTTATGATCGATTACTTTTTGGAATCATGTATTAGGTAATACACATTTAAATGAGCCATGAACTCTCTACTTTCTTGCCACTGCTACTGCAGTTATAAATAGTTGACAGTCTGTGTGCTTCTGCTCTGTATGGTTGTACAGCAAGTCTGTCTGCACTCATTTCTCTCAGAGAAAAAATTTTGTCAAGAAAACAAAATTATCAGCAATACATTTAGTGAGTACTAATAAAAACAATTCTTTACTACTTGTCATATTTTATTTCTCTTTAGAAATCCATTATTTCTTTTTAATGAAAACACTTTTTACTGCTTGTGATGTATCAGAACATCTTATTAGAAGACATTTTATTAAAAACCAGTAGAAAAGAACCTTAAAATTTAGGTATAACACAAACAAAATATATTCCTAGAACACATTTATTTAGCCATTCTTTCAATCTTTCATTCAACAGATACTTAGCAAGAGTCAACGTTGGGCTAGTGACTGAGCTGTGCACTGTACAACACGAGGCTCAATTAGACACACTCCTGCTTTATCATGCATCTATCACAGCCAGTTAGTTGAAAGAAGAGCTGGACTTAAATATCTAATCATATGAGACAATTCGATGAACAATAAATGTCATGAAAGTGGTATAAAGATGTACTAATTAAACACAAAAAAGGAAGCTTTTCTTTCTGAATGGAGTAATCAGAAATGCCTAAATTGGGAAGAGCATCAAAATATATTTCAGCCTTTGAAATATGCTCAGAACTCTGTCATGTACCTATGGCCCTAAGTCATAGCAAAGAGAACAAAGCATGCAGAGAGGAAAACCAATAGGGGATGATGCCCATGTGTGAAATAGCAATTAGTTTAACTTCAAAATAATGGGATTAGAGCAATAAGAAACTTGAAGTCTGAGACCTGATGTACTTGTCGTTTGTGTCTTGGCTGACCATATGAGGGTCCATTGGAGACAATTTCTAAAACTGTCCCAGGAAGAAATCTAGCAAAGGGAATAGATAAGACTCTGGAAGGAGAGAGAGAGAGAGAGAGAGAGAGAGAGAGAGAGAGAGAGAGAGAGAGAGAGAAAGACATTAAATTATGAAGCAATTTTGATAGTTCAGATGTGAGGTCATAAAGAAGAGAATAAAAATGATTCTCCAGTCCCGGGAAGCATCCAAAGCTTCAAAAGAAATTGTAAAAGAAAAATCAACAGGATAGAGAGACTCGCTGGAAGATGAAGTTGTATCTGGGACAGAAAGGCCACACAAAGAGTCTGAAGCAAAATGATTTTTGAGAAAGGAACTATAGAAGATTGGCACAGATAGAGCTTTGCAGCAGGAGCAAAATGGCCAAAGAAGGGGCAAAAGCATTGCTCGAGAGTAGAGATGCTCTCCATGGAGTGAAAGAAATGAAAGAGAAAGGACAATAGCTTCAGGGAGCATTGCAGCTTACAGTATAATGACTGAGACTGAGCTCAGAACTCTGAAACTAGACATTCTGAGTTCAGGCTCTGGCTTTGTCGCAAATAGCTGTGTGACTGTGAGCTCGTTAGTTTAACTCTTCAAGTCTGTTCTTTCCCTGCAAAACAGTCCTAATGATAGCATTTACCTTCTGAGTTGAACTCGCTGTCTAGTCAATTCTGACTCATAAAAACCCTCTTTCAGGTTTCCAAAATGGTACATCTTTACAGAAACATGTCCCATCTTTCTTTATCTCATGGAGCAGTTGATCTGAATCACCAAACTTTTAGATAAGTTTGACATGACAACTACTGTACCCATAGGACTCCGAAGAGATAAGCAGTTGGTACTTTTTAGATATGTCACATATATTTTGGGTCTTTATTATAGAAAAATTGAAGGAGTCCTGGTGGAACAGTCGCAAAGCATTTGGCTACTAATTAAAAAGTTGGCAATTCAAAATAAACCAGTGATTCTATTGGAGAACAGCATCACATTCTGCTTCTGTATAATTACAGTTTTAAAAACATTGTGAGACAGTTCTAACAAGTCCTATTGATTCTTTATAATTTGCAGCTGGATTATAAAACTGAGAAAAATATGTTCTGAATGGAGTAGGGGACACCTGTCATAAAGCAAGTAGAAAGAACACAACAATAACAAAGCAACAATTTGCCATAGAATCAATTTTGACCTATAGCAACCCATGCTGTGTGTAGAATTGCTCTCTCTTGGAATTTCCATGATCCATGCCCCTCCTCCCGTAGGCAATTTTCCAGACCTTTCTTCTGAAGTGCCTCTCAGTGGTCTTGAACCACAAAATTTACAGGTAGAAGTAAATAACATTAACTACTTGCACCAGTAGGGATTCCAATTAGAAAGAAGTAATCATTCATTCATTCATTGATTTATTAGCCCAAATTCTATAGAGAGTTAATCAGGTGTCAGGTGCTGTTCTGGTTATTTGGGACATACAGTAATAACGACAGATGTGATCCATGTCCCTATTGATTACAATTTAACAGAGGGGACAGATAATAAATTAACAAAAAATAATGCTTGGGCTATGGAAGGAAGGAAGGAAGGAAGGAAGGAAGGAAGGAAGGAAGGAAGGAAGGAAGGAAGGAAGGACGAAAGAATAAAATGGCTGGAGGGTTATTGATCTCTGGTGGCCTAGGGGCAAGAAGCTGTGCTGCAATCCTGAAGGCTCGCAGTTTGAGGCCACTCCGGTAAGTCACCATCAGAGAAGACATATTAGTAGAGGTGTTACTTGAGCACAAACTTCAATTAAATGAGTTACAAACCAAGTAAATATCCACAGATACAATATTTCTGGTGAGGAGAACTGGAAGAGTAGTGGGTTGAGAATATGTCTTTATTCTTATGTGGCTGATATTGAACAAATAAGGAGATGCAGAAAGAGATAGATGCATTGGTATCAAGATTTATCAAGATGAATGACTTTCTCCGTTGTGTGAAGACTGTATGAAATATGGACAGGTACAAAGATCTGATGGCAAAGTCAGGACACTATTGTCTCAATGCTCTTCTCCATCTTAGGATACAAGAAGCAAGAAGAGAAGGACATGTTGGAGGTCTAAAATGAAGAATAAATGTGATACATATTGTGACATGGGGCAATGAGTGAGTAGAGAGATACAGTGGCTTATCAGGGCAAGGAAGAGCTGTTATAAATATCAAGTAAATTGTGTTTGCTTTTATTATTTATTAAGTTTCCCTAAAGACACTATAGGAAAGTTAAATGTAATCATTGTTGGGGCTTAATCAGGAAAGTAGGGAAGGAAGGTCAAAGAAGAAACTGAATGAGTGTGGCTTCTAAATATAGAAGAAAATGAGGGCATGAGAGATATTAAGGACAGTGGAAAGATGGTAGAAGTAACTGCTTAAGGTCTGGGTGAAATTGAAAAATTGTTGGCAAAGGCTCAGCGAAATAAATGTACCAGAAACATATAAAGCAGTAGAAAAAGGAATGATAAAAACATTTCATAGAGGGTGATTATTGGTTTAGTGTGTGACATGGAGTTGACAAATTGAAGTGTGAAGAAGTCAATATCCTTGCAGGTACCATAAAGGTGCTAACAGGCCAGGTTACTGGATGGATTAGCTACATGGATACTGTAATTGATCAGAGGTAATTGGAAAGAAAGTGATCCTCAGATGCTAATATCATCATTGATTGTATGAGGATGACAGAAACTTCATTGGGAGGGGCAATAAGAGGGTATTTAAGAACATTGATTTCAAAGGAGGTAGATTATTTAAGTCAGAAAAACGAAACCTAATAAAAAATGTTTAAAAAATATGTTAATTGAAATACGATCAGTAATATACAGAAAATTTGTAGTTTGTTTCCCCCCCCCCCATGTATAATAGTGTTAAAGAAACAAATGAACATACAAAGGGAAAAAGTATTAAATATACCAACAGAGCAGTGTTCAGAGATTTTGTACATAGGGTCACAACGAACCACAGGTGACTTGACGGTGGCATGTAACAACAATATGCCAACAGGCAGCCTATTAATTGCAGCAACAAAACAAAACAAAAGAAACCCCATCAAAGTGAAGATTCTGATTTTATTATTCTGAATAATACATTTTATTATTCTGAATAATAATTCCTTGGGAAATCTTTATTATCTCCCTTTTTTTTTTACACCTTTATGTTTTAGGGAAAGCTATAAAGCAAATGTGTTTCTTTTCTTCCCTGAGGTCCCCGTCATTACTTACCAGGATTGCTGGACTGAGCATCCATGGGAATCACGAGCTTGGCCCTGGTGGCTCGGCGTGCAGCCAGTGACCTCTCCAGGGTGGACATGGAGCTCCCTGCTTCTTCAGTGTCTTGACCTAAAAATGAATTAAGAGTCCTTAGAGCATTGTCTCCTTCAATGACACTATATATTCTTTCAAGTACCTTTAGAGTTGGCTCAAAGGATATTTTCTATTTCAAAAGGTTTCATAGTTATTTCAAATAGTATTTCATTTCTTGTTACTCAGACAATACACATCTTGGTTGTCTAAGCATTAAGATGATTGTTCTTCCTTTATTACCTAGTGCTGTTGATGCTGTTGTTAGGTATAGCTGAGCTGACTCCAGCACACAGCAGAACTGTGATTAAAGCCTTGCCCTGTTCAATCCTATGGCATCCTAACAATCTCTGTCATGGTCAAGTCCAATGTTGCAGTCACTATGTCAATATTTCAGTGAGGATCTTCATCTCATTTACTCTATACTTTTCCAAATATAATGTCTTTTTTTTTTTTTTTTCTTTTTCGTAAGGATTGGTTACCTCCTTAGAACATGCCCGGAATATGTGAGACCAAGTTTCACATTCTTCCTTATAATGTGCACCAAGGCTCTACTTCCTTCAAGAACAGATTTATTTGTTCTTTTTGAAAGTCCATAATAAATGAAAAACTTGTTGTCAACACTCTAATTCAAAGGCGTCAATTCTTCTTCAATTTCTTTGTTCTTTGTCCAAATTTCCTATGCAAATTTGGAACAATTGAAAATATCATGGCTTGGGCCAAGCACACCTGGGTATCTAAATGGAAATCCTTATTCTAGCAATTTTAAGAAGTCCTTGAAAGCAGATATGCCTAATGCAACAAATCAAAGCAAAGAATCTTTTAATTTCTTGAATGATCCTTCCATGCACATTGAATTTGGAGCCAAGAAAAATGAAATAACTGACAACTTCAGTCTTTTCTCCATTTATCATGATGTTGACTAATGGCCAAATGGTGAGAGTTTTTGGTTTTTGGATGCTGAGATGTAATCCATATTGAAGACTGGGATCTTCGTTCTTCAGCAATGCATCACACCTTCTCCCGTTCAGAAAATAAGTTGTGTCATCTGTGTAGCATAAGTTGTTGATGAGGCTTCCTCTAGTTCTGAATGTTCACTTGAATTTGTTTGAATGTTAGACTTGTTTTTGACAACTTCCCATTTTTCTATATTTTTATTTCATACATTCCATATTCCAATTAGTAATTATACTTTTGGCTATTTTTCCTCATTTTAAGTCAAGTTACTTCATCAAGTTAAGGTGCTTAATTGGGTTGAAACATTACTCCAGTTGTATCCTTAAGGTCTATCATTGAGGGGCTAGCTCTTCCTCCACCACATTTCGAATACCTTTCAACCTCAGGGCTGATCTTCTGCAACTGTGTTGGATAATATTCCACTATTGTTCCAGTAGGATTTTTGAGTATCTGGTACTTCAGTAGTCAATGACTAGTCCTGTTTTGTACTCTGTTGAACTATCAGAATTTCCCTGAAACTTTTTTTTCCCACTGAAACTTCTCCACCAGAGGTGACCCTGCTGGCATTTGAAATATTGTTGGTATATCTTGTTCATAGGGTGGCTATGAGTCCTACTTTACTCAATAGCAATCAACAACAACACAACCACAACCTTGCAGTATCATGCCAGTATGCAAGCCAACATTAGTATGGCAAATTGACAGCCTAGCAATGGCATTATTTAATAAGCACTACCGCTTAAAGTTTGACATTTTAAAGTTTTGCATTTATATGTATATATGTGTATATATGTATTTTGTATATATATGTATACATATATATGTAAGAGAGACAGTATATGTTAAGGTATTTAATTTTTTAAATTACCATTATATACCATACATATCTACTTAATGAAACAACAAGGATATTTTTCTCTGTCAATAAATAAGTCAATAACATAATTTAAATGGCTCCATAATATCCTATTGTTTTAATTTACTTAATTTTTGCAACTAATACTTCAGACTCACAGTTGATCTTATTATAAAAAGATTAAAAAATTAGCTACATTGCTTTAAAAAGAACGTGGTTATGTTTACCTATAGCTTGCATATTAGAAGTGGAAAAGAACAGATAAAATCAGAAAGTAAATTCTACATGCTAAAAATATTTTTGTTAACTCTATGATAGTGTGATATAATTGTCTTTTCCATAGCTAAAGTTCCAATACTGAAAATTAATATCTACCTTATCCAAAGAGTAATTTCATAGGCAGAGAACAGACAAACACTTGTGTGAAGTACTGTGCAAATTAATTGAAATAGGATCAATAAAGCATATCTTTCGGACTCAGATTGATTGTAAATGCTGCCTAGTCAATGTTAGTGTAGAAATATTGGGGCTGTTATTTTGAGTTACATCATCTATAGTATGGGAATGAGGGCAGCCTACTTCAGAGTATTTCAAGATTAAATGAGCTATTGTAGGATAGTTCTAATCACAGAACTTAACATATAATGAGCTTTTACAATATATCAGTTATTGCCTATTATGACTTGGAAACCCCATTATTAAATATAATGTCCTTTGCTAACACTGTTGTTGTTGGTTGGTGCCATCAAGTCAACTACAAGCCATAGCCTATGAAAAGCAGATCAGTGCTTTATACTGTGGTATCCTTCCAATCAGTTATATATGGTGAGAAGGAGGAGTCCATACACTATTGGCAAAACTTGCCAGAGAGGCTATTCTCTTCCCTCCAATGGGAAGCTGTGGTGCTTTCGTCTTCCTGATGCCCAGTTATGGACAAAGCAGGAAAAGGAATCTTCTGCAAAACAGAGAGTTTCTTACAAGAGAGTTTTACCCTTTCTTCATTGAACTAGTGGAAACCTTTCAGGCAACAGACTCACCGGTCTGCCTTGTGTTTACCAAGGTGGCCGGAAGTGCAAGGCTGAGGGAGGAGCCATGGCTGAATGAATAATGCTCTTTCACTATCGTCATGACAAAGATGTGTGAGCTTCTTGTTGGTCAAATGGGCACTTGCATAAGAGTCTGTCTTGAACCCTCTTTCTGGAATACTTTTAAGTTCACCGTAAGGTTCTCAAGGTTAAGTGAGGGTTAAGACTTAGCCACATAATGGAACTGCCCTCAGCTGACTCAGAACAGCGCTCTCTTGGGTTTTTGAGGCCGTCAATTGCAATGGGAGAAACTGTGCCTTCGGCCTCCTCCCCACACAGGACTGCTGGCAATCACACCACGAGAAACTCTGCAGCTCTTGGGTTAGCAGCACAACTCACTACGGAATGCATGATTATAGCTCCCCTTGATGGGACGAGGCAACAGAAGAATCTCACATGGAGTATAAACAATTCATACTTGTGCTTCACCATGCATCCAGGATTTAGATGCCTCGGAGATATCCTGAAGAGCAATGTTGTCAGTTTAAAGAGTAAGGTGTACCCGATTGAAACCATGGTGACCTTTCCAATCACTGGAGCTGGACAATGAAGAAAGATGACATAAGAATAGATGCCTTTGAGCTGTGGTGCTGAAGAAGGGTACTGAATATTCCATGGACTGCCAAAAGTACAAACATATGTTTTGGAGAGTGCTCCTTGGAAGCAAAAATGACCCAGGTAGGATCAGTACCTGAATTGCAACTCAACTTTCCATTACACCTAGAAGCAAGGAACTGAAAGAAAGTACAGATAATTTCAAGCTATGCTGCCTTGACAAAATTTTTGTTCATGATTACAAAAAAAGCAATACTTCATTATTTTCCAACTATGTCCCCTCTAAGCCTTTAGAACTTTCTAGAAACCTTAAAATCACAAAAAAACAAACCCACAAAAACCACAGCATGCTGGAGATGGAAGAAATATAACTACACAATTTATATCAGGTGACTTATATCAAACGATTGATAATGGATCCCCTTACCAGTTGACATCAACTCATAGTGTGACCCCATGTGTGTTAGAGTAGAACAGTGCACTCCAGACTTTTCAATGATGAGGGTTTTTTTTCTCCAGCAGATAACCAACTGTTTCCCCTGATGATCCTCTGGGTGGATTTGAACTGCCCATCATTCATATCAGCCATGTGTTCAACTACTTACGTCATCCAGAGATTCCTAAATACCCTTCTTTTTGTTTGTTGTCAGGTTGACTCCAAATAATGACAAGCTTAGAGGAGCTGCTCTA